TTTTGCTGCAAAGCTTTTTTAATATGAAGCTTTGTTAGATATTATGAGATTAAAGGTAAAGGGCCAAAGATTCTGTGGTGAGTATGATTTCTTCGGCCCTTCTGAAAATGTCATAAAATGTCTGTGTTTGTATGTTTAATGATGATTTGAGGATGAAAATCTAGTTTTGGCAGTGTGTGTGTGTGTGTGTAATAAGTAAGTCGTTATCGGCCATTGCTTACCCCACTTACTTATGGCAGATTGCGGTCTTAACCCGCAAAGGAATGAAAATATCAATTTGAGTCTTGTTAATAGGACACAAGTTTTAGTTGTTTTATTTGGTCCCATATATTTAACGGTAAATAATTTTTTGATTTTGGGATTGTCAATTTTAAGTATTTTTTTTTTTGTTATAAAAGGCAACTTGAACTATATATACAGACACTATTTGCACGTTCGACCACATCTTGACCTCACACGTGTCTTTTTTTGTAGATAATCGGACGTTGAAAAAGTAGTCGAGCGTGCAAATGATTGTATATATGTAGTTCAGGTTGTATTTTACAACAAAAATATTTTAGGTTGAAAATCTCAAAAGCATCGTACAGTACAAGTTGAAAAAATTATTTACCCTATATTTAAAACACTTTTTTTTTTTTTTTTTTACCTCAGTTGTCACGAAAAGAAGCATAGTGTGACGATCAAAACACAGTGCAACAACGGTTTGATGATTTTCGTTAATTTTTATCTAACATGACATATGTTAATGTGTATTTATTTATTTATTTATTATATATACATATATATTTTTTTAATACAATATATTTGTTTACTAGGCTTGCAAATGTACTAATAACTGACTTACACAATACCCTAGTGATATTTTAACTGAAACTCAATTGTAGATATATAAAAAAGATTCTTGTACAACTTTTGGAATGATAATATTGAGAGATGCTACGGTCCCCGTTACAGAACTATTCCGTCGGGGTTTCTAACCGTTAGATCAATTATCTCGACAATTACAAATTTGATGGAATGATTTCGTAACGGGACCGTAGCATTTTTCTATCTATAAAATGTCATTTTATAAATAAAAATGTCATTTTCTCCAACTATGATAAGATGCCAGAATTTATATTGATAGCACATCACTTAACAAAACTAACTAAAAATTTGCCAGCACATGTGGAAAGCAGTCTGAATGCGAGTATCCTAAAGTCTACCTCAATGTTTGAAAACTATGTCACATAAAGAATATATCATTTTCCAGAATAAAATAAAATAATAATATAGTTGCAAAAAAAAAAAAAAAACATTTATTTGAGAAATTGATCAAGTGAACCTCACAAAGCCAGATACAACATATGACCAATTCAACCTAAAACGAGTGTTTGTGTGACCCAAAACATCAAATCTTGTCCCTCTGTTTTGCTATAGAGTCATCGGATGACTCGGCTTATGGAGTCATCCATGTTATTCACAAATGATGTATTGACACGTGTTCTGCAATAAATGCACATTGGACATGTGTCAGTACATAAAATTATGGATGGCTCCATAACGGAGCCATCCGATTGCTCCATAGAATTACTATCTTGTCCCTATATCACAAGATTTTAGTGTAGCTCTTAGCAATAGGAAGAAGTAAAAAACATAAATTGTTTTGATTATAAGTAAACTCAATTGGTTAAGTTAAAATTTGAGCATAAATGTGTTTGGAGTACTTACAAAACACAAATGCTCCTGTTCGACTACCTAACCGTTAGACAACCATATTTTCTTACGAAAAAATGCATATTTACTATAAAATATCATTCTTTTGTTTATATTGTATTATGCAGTCTAACAGAAGATTCATATTGAATTGAGACA